CCGGCCCCGCCGTGAGCCCTTATAAGGCGGCGGAGCGCGGCGGGCGGGCGGCGGCGGCCCCGGCCCGGGGCTATATATGGGCAAAGGTTCGGCCGGCCCGGTCGCCCGCGGCTCCCGGGGGGGCCGGGGCGGGGCGAGGGGGGGGGCGATCCGGGCACCCCCGGCATTCCCGGCTCCCTCCGCCCCTCCCGGGAACGGGGCAAAAACGGGGGGCACCGGGGGCTCTCCGTCCTCGGCGCGGCTGCCGCGTCTTCCCTCAGGGTGTCCCCAAAGTCCCTTTTCGGTGTCCCCAAAGTCCCTTTTCGGTGTCCCCCACGGACGTTCTCCATGTCCCCTTTATGGTGGGGCTGTGTCCCCCCCGACTGTGGCCCCACATCCCCCTGGCAGTGTCCCCCCCATGTCCCCATCGCTGTCCCCCACATCCTCCCTTGTCCTCCCGACACCGTCCCCCCGTGTCCGGGACCGCGTCCCCCCACACTCTCCACGCCACCGTGTCCCCCTTGACGGTGTCCCCGTGTCCCCCCTGGCGGTGTCCCCGTGTCCCCGTGTCCCCCTGACGGTGTCCCCGTGTCCCCCTGACGGTGTCCCCGTGTCCCCACAGCTGGCCCAGAAGTACGACCCGCAGCACGAGCGGGAGCTCCGTGCCTGGATCGAGGGGACCACGGGACGCCGGATCGGGGACAACTTCATGGACGGGCTCAAGGACGGCGTCATCCTCTGCGAGTACGACCCCCACCCCGACCCCGTGGGACCCCAAATTTTGTCCCCGGTCCTGGCGCTGACCGGGCTGTGACCGTCCCGGATCCCTGGGATCGAGTCTGGGATGATCCCCCTGGAATTCAGCCCGATTTTAACCCCCCCCCTCACCTGGGCTGACCCCCGAGCCCTGCTGAGCACAACCTTGGGGAACCTCCTGAACCCCAAAGAGGGATACAGAGACCCCCCCCGAACCCCTAAAAGGGACACAGAGCCCCCCCCCGAACCCCTAAAAGAGACCTCGGCCACCAGCTCCAGCTCCTCGTCGTCGGGGGACCCTTCCCCACCGTGGGGACAGCAAGAAACTCAGGGGAACCCCAAAAAACGAGACCCCAAAAATGTACCCTGGGGTCACGTGAACCCCAAAAATCAATCCCGGGGTTTGGGGAAATCCCTGAACCCCCAAAAAAACCCAAAAAAGTTCACAGGAACTCCCCTGAGCCACAAAACGGGACTGGTGTTGAGCCTGTCCCCCCTGCACCCCAATCCTGGCGGGATTCTGGGGTCACGCCCACTGCCCTCACCTGTGCCGCCCTCACCTGTGCCGCCCTCACCTGTGCTGCCCTCACCTGTGCTCCAGGCTCATCAACAAACTGCAGCCGGGCTCGGTGCCGAAGGTGAACGAACCCGTCCAGAACTGGCACAAGGTGAGGGGGGAAACCCCCCCAAAAAAATCCCGGGGTTTGGGGCGGGTTTGGGGCGGGTTTGGGGCGGGGTTCTGATCCCAAACCCGGCTCCGAATCCCTCTGGGCGCAGCTGGAGAACATCGGGAATTTCCTGAGGGCCATCACACGCTACGGGGTCAAGCCCCACGACATCTTCGAGGCCAACGACCTCTTCGAGAACACCAACCACACCCAGGTCCAGTCCACCCTCATCGCCCTCGCCAGCCAGGTGACCCCAC